TCCTCGACATAGCCTTAATTGTTTTTATTGGCAATAATGTATTGATATAAAGTATAAATGAATGTGTTTCCTGTCAATCAACGAAAGCAGGATAGAACGGAAGGTCTTTCTCAATAGTAGCTCCGACAAGTATCTCATGCAGCAAGCTTAACATCAAGTCTCTTGAAACCGCCCTTGTCAGCGACTTCCTGTTGCAAAACAACCATTCTCTTCTGGTCGCCAGTTGGATCAGCCGAATCGCCTTCAAGCTTCCATTCGAGGAATTCGTTGGTGTAGTTAGGACTGAAGTCTTCATTCAAGACACCAAGGCGTTTACCATACTTGGTAACCTTTTCCCAATCACGTCGAACATTCTTGAGATCCTTCGAGAAGTATGCGTAAGAACGCTCAAAAATCTTACGGTTGACAGCAGAAGCCATTTCAGGTTTGATGTCGATGTATGTCTTATAAGCGTCGGATGGAGAACCAAGAACGTGGTCAGTTGCTCGTTTGACGGCCTTCATGAATCTTCGGATCTTCTCTGGATTCTGTGCAATGAATGCGTCATTTGCTGTTGTCAATTAGCTAGGTACTCCAAGTGTTTGAACTGGAGAACGCACCGATATACAAAATGGAACAGAAGCAACAACACCCAAGCTCAGCGAGCTCATCAATACGGAGCATCTGAACATCGGAGCGAGGGCGACCTTGATTTGCGAGCCACTCTTCAAGTTCGACCATTTGTACGTTTTCCAATCCGATGCCGGCATGTATAGTTCCCTCAATGATAGCCTTTGAGACATTCATGCCACAACGAACAGCTTCATAATCAGTTGGCTCCATTCCATAGTGCTTGGTCAACTCATCAATTTGAATCTATGATCGAGGATTGTTAGATGGTTATCGCGGCTGGAGTATTCAATGCATACTTTTCCAAATTCTCCAACATATCCAATCTTCTTTCCTTTGAGACTGCGAAAGTCGGTGGTAATTCCGCTATCCTTGAGGTAAACCACTCCAGTGAATGGCTCATCAAGCAAGGAGCCGATCGAGGTAACGGGAAAATCCCGAGCTTTGGCGGCAAGGGTATGGATCATGGCTTTGAAACCCATATCGACTTTTCCGGAACCGATGATTTCGGTAACATCTGGTTCACTCAATCAGCTACCATCCAAACGAAATTATTCGAGTATTTCTTTGATTGCTAACCACTGGGATCATTAGGCTCAAGAAGAGCTACCTTGATTCCTTCATCGGCGAAGTATCCAAGCTTTTGAGCGAGATAGACGGGTGCATGATATGGCGTTGCGTGCCTATTGAAAAACAATTTGTTAGATTTCTCCTTTGCTTCAAATGAGCTCTTCCAATCACTTGAAGCTACAGTTAGATTTATGTAGCCTACCAGTTCATCAAGAATGTGATTTTATCAGTCGACATTCTGGTGATCAGGTAGCTAATAAATGGTTAGAAGACTCGCATGGGGAGGGAAGGGGAAGCATGTCCTTTCGCTAGAATTATCTAGATCAAGTTCATATGTACGGTATAATCTCAGATCCAAAGTCTACCCATCGCTGACTTGAAGCCATAGATGGACAGAATTTGGAACACCCGCCATGCCTTTGTTACACGTTACCTTGATCTGAGGATGATTCATAGCGTGAGAGAGCCACGCTTCGGTTCTTATCGAACATACTGAATCGATTTGATGCGAGTAAGACAGTTGAGAGTTGAAGTGATTAGAGTTGATGTTGGAACGTTCGAATTGTAAGTGTTAGAGAGAAAGTAAAGGAAAGGAAGAAGGAAAAGATAGAGGGGTAAGTCCATTATAAGGTACAGCTTGTGGTCAGCTTCGGCCCTAGTGCGGGGTAAAATCAACGTGCACCCACCATGATGCATGATCTATTGATCCCAACAAAATCAGGTCCTACCAATGAGAAGCTCAAGGTATGACTAAATTCAATTAAAAGTGCAAATCGAGAACATTTTGCCGGCTAAATGGATTGTCGTCACCATACATAAGGAAGGTAACTCCAGATATGAAATGCAAAGGGCGACCCGAGTACACATCGAAAACCTAAATTTGGTCTCGTTTACACGTCGTGCTGACATTACATCAATCCTATCATTCATTTCAGCGTTAGGTGAAGTAATCGGAAAACCCACACAAAATTTGCAGCTGGCATAGTCATACCAACTCGTAAAGCAAGAATCGCTTGAAAGATGTAGCATTTTGGCTCTATTGCAACTGGGCATGATGCCTATCAATGATAAAGTAGCACTCCTCTGTTTCTCAAGAACTGCATACTCATCATCTCAATTCGCCTACACATACCTACTGTAGCATAACATTGATATAAGACTCCTCTTGCTGTATGAGGAGCTGATTGTTACGATCAGCACCGCGCCTTAAAAGTAAATCGACCACATCTTCATGGCAGAATCGAGCGGGGCCACTAAAGATTACAACTCCATCTGTCTCCTCCATTGATATCGGCTCCGGCGTCGAGGAATTTCCGTACAACTTCCATGTTATCCAACTCTGCATAGGTAGTGAGTGTCTTAATAAATCCCCAGATTCAAATGGAATGAGCGAATCTTCGAAGAAAACATCTATGCATTGAAGCATAACCCAGATTTCGAAGTCGAAAGACATACATAGGTCAGCGCCTGTATCTGATCCTCTATTGACATGGCCATGGGATTGGCGGCAGAAATCCAAATCAATAGAGGTGGATTATGCAAGCGGATATATAACCGAACGGATCCTATTCATGTCTCCTCGTAATGCAGTTCCCTTAATAGAGCCAGGCTCTGTCTTTCCTCGCCACCGATCATCTTGATGTAGATAACGAGGTGGAATCTTTTCAAAGTCAGGCAAGTGCTCTTGAAAGAACTTCAACATGTTGGCATTTCCAGCCCATGCAGTAGGCTGTATTGGAGGAGGAAATACACCCAGGCCGCTGACGGCATACTTTCTCCCACACCAAAGGACCAAACTAATGTCAAATAATCCCAACTGTTCATGACATTAAAAAATAAAATCAGTACCTTCAACTGGACTCAATTTAGAACAAATCTCATGCCTATCATTAACAATCGACGGATCGCAAGGAAAAGACCCTGGCATTTTAAAATCGACGAACAACTTGGAAATCATGCCAAAATACAAAGTCGGCCCCACCAGCTACAAATATGGGATGAAGAGACTAACAGTGTCTGAATCCTCAACAGCTACAACTAATTTCAATGCGAAGGAACACCTTGACATGATATCTGTAGACAAAACGTCAAGCAATAGCAATCTTGTAGCATACAAGAATAGAGTCGCAGTCAAATCTTCGACCGTCACGTTGTAGAGGATTCGAGGAATGCAAATGTCGACGTGAGCTCTTGATTTTGTTCTAGCAATGAGATAATGCTATTTCGGGTGTCAAAGAACTGTGTATAAATGCAATATAATGAGTACGTTTCTAACCTCTCATTGTGTCAGTCCACTGAACCCAATCTACTTATCATCTTCGCCTTGATCTGTTTCACTCATTCAGACTCAAATACGTCTAATGATTGAACCTTATTCAACAGTCTACCCCCACAACCCCCTTTTGGACATTCGATTAGAATCACAAATTCTCTACTGCCCTCATGGGGCATCCTTATACCTTTACACGCAATGCCTTATTCCGTCTTGGAAGCTGCAACAGCTTTCCTAGACTCAGTGGTGTCTTCGCTGCTCCAATTGCCGTCACGGAGAAAAACACGGCGATTTTGACTCTAGCGCAGCTTTGGGTTACGATGCAGCAGGGAACAAACAGTACGCAACCCGATCTTACGGTCCATGTCAAGTAGATATGGTTGGTGTAGAGTTGCTGATAATTCATACCGCAGTCTGACAATAACGGTTCCTGGATAACGAAGTCCTGATATATTGAATGTATTCTTCTGCTGAGCAATTTGAATCTCTGGAATAGACAAATCTAGGGGTTTGCTTCTTCTCTTGTAGTAAATTTCCTAGAATAATGCACCTTGTTATTTAATTCATTTTTAAGAGGGGGAGATAAGGTTTCTGGCTTTCTCTAGCAAAATTTCCATGTATTGATATTTTGCTTTGCATCTCATCTTCCAACAAAATTTCCATGTATTGATATCTTGCTTTGCATCTCATCTTCCAATACAAAGTTTGAGCCAGCACGTCATTTGCAAAGGAAAATCTCGCAAATTTTCTTCAGTAAATGACCGAGGCCTAGAACTGATCCATGAATGAGACTTTAATGTAGCAAACAGAATAGTGCTATAGAGATTAGACTGATTATTATCAGACCGGACCTCATAATGTTTCAAATGCCTAGGTAGTGTAATGACTAGGAAAAGCTTACTCTCGCTTCATAATGCGCAATGAGGTGATAACTCCAAGGAAACCTTTGGTCTTGTCTTACTGTAGATTTAGTTCCATATTTAGGAATCCCAGCACGGCCCAGAATTCTGTGTTGAGCATCAGCACATAAAGATAAACACTTTCCAGTTTATTTTATTTCATAAAAAAAAGTTAGGATCAAAAACTGGAATCGCGTATTGACCAACGTAACGCGTATTCATCCAACTGTTACAGATACTTGGCGTCGTCCTTAAATCAGAAGCGCCGAAATCGAATCCATTTAACCTAAATGGTTGATTCGTATTTCAAGGTACAACACTGTCGACCGTTGTAGGATATACACTTTCTCGAGTAAGTGCCACTAACAGAATGACCACAGGAAATCGGAAAAATCAATCTTGAAGTAAAAATTCGCGTTTCCTGGTTTGTGGATATGATTCGACTTTCCTTTTGGATTTCACTTAGGGATGACTTGGCTTGCAATGGATTCTCCTTGTGCAAGAGAGCCAGTCTCGACGTGTGTCCTCCGGCCTATGTTCAGAATATTTTGTGACACAAGCTAAAGATTCGTTGCCCTGATGAGTGATGTACGAAATGAATATTGTCGTAAAATGCACAAAAATACGGCACACTGGTGCCTTTTGTGGAACGAAATAAAACTCGAACAGAACCATGTGGACAAGCAATTTTTTGACACAACAATCCTTCGTGTGAATTATAAATCGATTAATCCCAAGCTTAGAAATCCTCCTATCTATAGGAATTGTCCATGGTATATACAAAGCAAAACCCGCAAATCCCTCTCTTGCTATCCATCGTTCGTATTCCAAAATCAGAGATGGGAATGTAGTCGAAGCCGAGTTCAAAAACCGGAAGTAACGCCAGGAATGTAACGATGTGGTCATACAATTGAATGATCCACCAGTCGGAGAATAACGAATGCGGCTGTAGCAATAACGGCAATGGTACGACGACCCAAAGGGGGTTAAATATGTGATGTTGTGTAACAATACTGATAGTATTCATTCGGTGCCTGCCGGTGGAACATCTCCATCTTTTGTAACAATTACATAGTCAGCACTGGTCCTGTCCCCATCAACGAGTTCGTATTCACCTTCGCTAGCACCTGGGGTAGGTGGTAGAGCACCTGGGATATGTGATGCCAGAGCTGTTGTGTATGATTGTTCTGGCTTTGGGGCAGCTGGCCTGGATGCGAGACTCCCCCCGCTTATTCCAGCACCCCGCGATGCGATGTTGTTTTCAAATTTTGGTTCTAAAGGGCTTATAGGACCGTCTGTAGACTGTTGTTGAGAAACTGATTTCCCTGGTGAGAAGCTTCCGGGGCTTGCTGCTGCTTGTTTGGCCTTTAGTCTTTCCTCGGTCGCTTTAAGTCTGGCTTCGAGTTCTTCGAGTTCGGATGTTTTTGTAGATATTTCATTCTTCCTAATAGATAAACACATGATCTTAGTATTGTGTTGTTGAAAATAGTGTTGTTGGAAAGAATGCAAGAATTATGAGGCCATACTTCTCAGAAACTATAGCGTCGAGGTCCTCGCTGCTGTCAAGCTTGAACAAATCATCCAATGCGAGAGCGAACGATCGTGCCATTTGACTAAATACCCATTAGTCTCATAACACAGTTTCCCAACCCATCAAACCTACGATTGTGGCCTGCCAGTTGGCACATATTGACTATCGAGTTCGGCGTCGGACATGATTGATGGTGAAGTTAAAGTATCTCGAGCTATCTGGATATAGGGCTGTAGCTTAAAATGTACCCCGTAATTGAGATCTTCGGGTACGCGAGATTGAAATTTGGAGGTTGGGTATGGAATGTTCCTAGAATGGTAGATGGAAAAATCGACTTGTTGTGATAAGAGTTGGATGATTTCTGGAAAAGTAGAAAACCTTAAGATTAACAGATTCCGACTTCTTCTTGTATGTGTTAATGAATCGTAATAAGTTTGATGCGGATCTCTTGATGCGGATCCTCTGCTTTCATAGATTGGAGGTTGGCACCTTAAAGAGAAATAATAGGGGCTGCTAGACTAGTGTCATGTGAAATTAATGGAGAAGCTTTTGGTTCGTTCTTTCCATCAGCTGGGGGTGACAAATGACGAGGAGTGGATATATATATGATCAAAATTCAGGAACAACCTTAAGGGCTTTTTTGGTTCATGACATTTTAATCAAAATATGAAAGCGTCTAACGAGGTGAAGTTGTCTCGAATGAGAGTGCTAAGGGGAATAGTCAGGTGGAATGTGAGGAATGAATGCGTATAAATGCTGTCAACTCAAGCCACTCAAGTAAATATAGATCTATGGAAATAGAATAATCAGACCAGCTTTATGCTGGTAAATTGATGTATTGAAAAATTAACAATAGCTAGATAACATTCAGATATTTGGCATGAAGATCATCATTAAGCAATACCCAAATTGGCAAAGGTAAGGTTTCCCATGAGGGGCAATATTCCTAGAAGGTTTTATCGGTTCATGAAGCAGATGAAAAGCAAGTTCGTAAAGCATTGATGTGGCTATCAACAACGCATAAAGGTGTGTCTTCGGGAAAAGGATAAATGGATGCGTAGGATACTGGACATAAATAGGGCATAGATTGAAAGTATATTTGAATAAGATGACAGGATACCTCTTCAATGCCATGCACACATTCGAACACCTTCTTCTCCATTTCTCGAAGGATTTCTCAAAGAGTTTAGACGACCCCTTTAATGCTAATAAGAAGCGACAATTTCAACTCGGGTCAGTATTCTGTTAAAAATACAAAAACTATAAGACGCGGTAGGTAGTTTTCTTGAGAAATAGCAGACTTGGGTAGGTAGATAGAGAGAGAGGTATCGGTACTCGAAAACTTTATAGTTTACTCCAACTGCGTTCATCGTCATAGATACCGGTAGATGCTAGATCGATAGTAACTCTTACTGTCAACTCATAGCGGTAGATAACTCTACCCGTCATAATCTAATGAGTGTCTGGGAGAATAGCTGAACGATCTACAGCGCTGTTTTAGGTTTATGGGAAGGGTAAAATCCTTGACACTGATGACAATGCTGAACTCAGTGTGCTGTACGAACATGCGAAGCAAATATAGTGTGGGAGTGTAGCTGGCTTGATTGTGAAAAGACTCGCGAGCTGGAAAGAAAAACATGATCGAATGACTATGTCTAGGTGTGTAATATATACGTACTCCGTGGGTAGGTAAGTAATCTTTATACACAACTTCATATGTCTACACTGTACATCGCATCTTTCGAATTGTTGGAATGCTTCACCAACGATTCCCAACAAGACAATTCTAAAGAACTGGGGGATCTTCAAATGTACCTAGGTAGCCGACCGACAGCTGGCTTTAAATTCCGAGTCGATTTCCATTTCCACTTCCATTGAATCTGATTTTGTTTTGTTTTGTTTTGTTTTTATCTTGATAGAGTCACGTGACTCTTCTTAAAAATCTGGGCTAGGAAGCTACCTAGTAGGTATTGTTGTGGTCAGAACAGAACATGCGAATGTGAAATGGTATGAATAACCTCATACTCATAAATTTGATCATAAATCAATCAATTGTTGTCCCCATCAACCACGACCCAAATTTCTATCAGTCGCGATCAATTATAACTCGTGATAAAGATTTAATCCCTCTGTAGGTTTTCGCATCGATTATATCGCTTTAAATGCATCATTAATTATTTGAAAAAGGTTGTCTTGACACTCTGAACCTTTAATCGCGAATTTGATCCACCCAACTTTCCTCTTCTTCGTCGTGGCTCCTCTTCACCCTCCCAAAAGTCGTGGAAATCCCCTCGAAAGCTGGCGAGGAGGATACCGTGGCATGAATACTACCACAGCCTATACGCCTCTTGAATGTTTATTGTTATTTCAATCTTTAGTCGCATATGGCACCGATCCAAACTCATTTACTCAAATTTCTCAACTCTTGACCAATAATTCCCTGGTTAAGGATGGGGAAACATACGATGCTGGAAGACTGAGTGCGGATCTATTGGGGGATTTATATCTACGACTTCTGCGAGAGGAATTGAAGAATGATGCAGAGCAAGATGTGCAAGAAGAAACTGGACCGTCGCCGTCAAAAAAACGAAAACTCTCAAGTCCACATTTGCCAACTATCAAGGATGCCCAACCTTATCGAGAAAAATTGCCAATTTTAGTGGAGAGGTTATATGAGCGGTACAAAGATTATATGGTACGGGCCATTAGGGAAGATGAGGAGAATTACCGAGCTGTTCAACGAGATATTGCGGCAATTGAGAGAGGAGATTGGGATGAGAGAATATTGAGAGAAGAACGGGCGGTCACGGAACAAAATGGGCACAAACAAATTGTGGATGCTGGCATGAAGCCGAATGGTACCTCTAGCAATGTTCCTATCACGGAGGAAGGTATATCGAAGGAATCCAAGCCTTTGGATAGCAGACTACAGGATCCACGGCCGACAGAACCTAGGCGTCTGGAGCCCCAGCTGCCACAAATCAAGTCATTTGAGATAGCTATTCCGCAATCATTACCTCAAAATGTAAGAGAGCAATCAAGAACAAAAGCATCTCCATCTCCTGGTCCATCTCCAAGAACCGAAGGTCGACCAGAAGGTTTGGCTATCAGTGATGTTTTAAACACTCAAAATTCCACCCCTGTTCCTCCCCCCAAAAATGTCACGGAACAACAGCCTCGAAATGGTATGCAACATGGGGTACCACCAATGGCTCATCAAAGATCTGGCAGTCATGGTCCACATGGTCCATCTCCATTACAAACTCAGGCTCATTCGCCACAACTTGGTCCTCCTCCTTTGCAATGGGAACCACCATTTCACCCCGGGGGTCCCAATCCTCCACAGTTCCACAACCCTCAACCTGGATCGCCGCATCCATCTCCACACTCCCAGTTCTACCCCCCACCGTTCCCTTCATATCCTCCCCATTCGTACCCGCCCCCTAACCATCGAAATTCCCTACCAAGTCCACATTTACCTCCGCCCCATCATTCTGTACCATCATCTCCACTGAACCCACAGTATCAACAAGGCGTTCTGTTACCACCCCCTCATACAATGGGTAGGCCTCCAAGCACTACCGGCACCCAACTAGATGCGTTAGCGGACGTTGCTGGGCAGCAATATCGTGCGAATTCTGGGTCTCCTATGCCTCAGCAAGGACCTTTACCTCCGGTCTCTTTGCCTCCAGGGTCTATGCCACAAATTCCACCTCACATGCCATACACACATTCATTTCCACCTCCACCTCCACAAAGACCTCTCTCCTCGACTGGCCATCCTCCTCCACAATGGATCCCTCCCTTCCAATCACCACCATACCCACTACCATATCAACTTAATGGACCTCCAAATGCACGACCGCCATTTCCCCGACCAGAACTCGTTGCTCCGGAGAACAGGCAGTATAATTCACCTTATAATGCAAATCAAAGTCCACGGCCTTCTCTACCCATTAATAATCCAGTGCAGCCAAGGCCGCAACTATCGCAGCCTCATACTCCGTTGTCTCAAGCACCTCAGACATTCATGACTGGAAGCGGCACTAAATGGACTCCAAGACCATCCGGCGCTACTCCACGACTACCTAGGGAGCCTTCTCGACCACAAGCAGAAGCTCTCAGTCCTATCTTAAAACCTAAAGTATTACCTCAATCAGTAGAAAAGTCTCCACAAAAGACATATCGGCCAAAGCAGGATCCTGTAAAACCGGGCAACACTAGCACACCGAACACATTACGCAGGCGAGCTGGCAGTATAACCTCAACTCCCATTATTGGCCCATTTAGAAGAAGTCAGTCGGTACAATCACATGCTGACGAACTCTCTCTGGATAACGAAGGTTCTGGTCTTCACTTCAAACAAGAAATCGCAACACCCCGTGGCGTTGGTGATGTAGCCGATATAGCGACCGATGAAAGTACAAGTCGACAATCCAAAATCCCACAATCACCTCGTCAAGCAATGAAACGAAAACGTCTTGATAGTCCCGAACTTAGGGAACCCCGTGGTCCACCCCTGTTCGTTTTATGGACTCGTGCATTCCCAAAGATTAGTGTATCTGCCTTGGAATCGATTAGTGGTCATCGAAACGCGAGCACATTTGCGAATCCCGTCAAGGAGAGAGATGCTCCCGGTTATAAAGATCTCATTCTTCGTCCACAAGATCTTAAATCTATTCGAACGGCTATCACAGCTGGACATAAAGCTGCGGCGGCTGCAGCTGCTGCTCTGGCTACACCAGATGATCAAGGCCAATCAAGTGCATGGCTGCCTATCGCTGAAGATCTCATTCCTCCAAGAGGCATAATAAATTATGCTCAGTTTGAAAAAGAATTGATGCGTATGTTTGCCAATGCTATTATGTTTAATCCCGATCCTGATCGTGGATTTGGTAAAGCATTTGAGAATAAAAGGAAAGAGTCTGAGAGGGGAGCGGTGTATGAAATTGATGAGAATTCATTGGTGAAGGATACAAGAGCTATGTTTATGGATGTCGAAAAAGATATTGGAGCATTGAGAAGTGCAGAGAGGAGAAGCGAAGAAGCTGCAGAAAGAGAAGCTCTTGGTGGACCTTGGGGTATTAGACATACGAATAGTCATGCTGCACCTGATGATGATGATGACGATGATGAAGTTGACGAGCTAGCAGGGGATGGAGATAGCGTTGTGGGCAACGGAAGTGGCACGATAAAAAGAAGAAGAAAAGCTTGAGGCAGTGACTTCGCTTTGTAGTGTTAGTCGTCCCTCAAGGGAGATGTAAATATTATTGTGCTATGAGACATACGTTAATAATGAAAATGAGAAATCTTCTCATCGAATATACTGGTCTCTGAGTTTATTTGCCACTAATACGGTCATACTGGTCATTAATGACGATGCTTTTATGATCGGGAGAAAGACCAAGGTAAGTGTCATCTTACATTAAGCTATGGAATCATGCGTAGAGAGGATATGGGTTGCATGGGTCAACTATTGATGGGAATCTATAGACTTTTCCTGATAGCATGAAACAATTTACGGAAAACCTCACTAGACTCTAGAGCCCCCAATAAAGGAACTCACAGAGGGTCAAATTTAGAAAACTTGCTTAAGTTTTCGCTTTATATAAATGCGATTGATGGATATGACAAGCTTCAATGATGAAATTTGATCAATTTATATTTCAGGAATCAGTAATATCTATTGCGGAATTGAGAAGCAGGGAATAAGGGATATCAGAGAAGCGGGCATGTCAATTACTTGAAAGATTAGGGGAGGGAGTATGAGAAGTGGAAAGACGAGGTCTTTCCCTTCAGGGTCGGTTACTGTATCTATGCACCACCTAGCCAT